CGGAAAAGGACCGTTCGCTGGAAAAAAAAAATGAGAGGCATACTTGAAAAAAAAAAAGAACGAAGAACATAAGTGAGAAAATGGACATGCGTTAGTGATGGGTTGTTGTTTTGGTGGGGTTTGAAAATGCCACGTTTGTCTGGAAACCGCGATCAGGCATGGAGAAGAGAGATCAAGCATTAGGGGTGAAGCCATGTGACCTCTTTATTGGTCTAGACTTCAAACCCCACCCGTTAACCCCTTATATAGCGCAACAGTCTGTTTCCGACTGTAATTATTTTCCATTGAGTATTGGATTTTTAAGGGTAATGTATAACGATATTAATAATATGATTGTGTGGCCACAAGTCTGTGTGATTTTTAATTCCAAAATTCCTGGTCTATAACTGCTATAACAGCTATCAGATAAGTTGTTGTTACCATAGAAAAGAGAACAGCGAAAAAGAAGTGAAATATGAAGTACACTCCCAACATCCTCAGGTAACTTTATTGCAAAACATTATTTGCAAAAACGAAATTTCAAAATATTGTACATTTATGAATATAATCAATAATTATAATTCAATAATTCCAAGTGTTTGGATTGAAGTGCTTCATGGCATGCATATTTCATTGCCTCGTAAGACACTTGTAAAAAGGTATTTAAAAACTTAAGATTATAATGTTGTCACTCATCTCAGAGTTTGTTGGTTTGGCTGAAATCCCAATGGAGGAAATTAATTGGAACAATACACAAAAAAAAAAACACCAAAGACACAGTAACTGTTGCGCTCTGTTAGGTCCCTGATAACACACCCTAAGGTGACGCCTCACAATTGTTGTGAAGAAACACTCTCGTGAATGTGAGATAACATTGGCAGCTTCCTTTTTTAGCCGTCAATGTTTAGCCAGGTATATAATAAGCCGACACACTTAATAAAAACAAGCAGGAAGTACATCCATGAATGCAAAAGCTGACTGTCTGCACGTGTTTGTTTGAGCGTGTGCGCAATCTCAATTTTATTCACCAGGGACAGTCCTGTCGCACTGATGCCTGCACCAGACTGGCAGTCGTCGCAGGCACTCTGTAAAAGTTAATGGCCTATGCCCACGTCCACGGGGGCTAATATTAAGTGCCAGTCTGCAAGGATAGTGCGTGTGTGCTAACGCTGCTATCCAAGCGCAAATTAATTATTAGTTATATGGCTATGTGTCCCCTCTTCAGTGCGAGGTCACCGAGGCCTGCCTTTAATTGCTGGAGCATATGGCTGGAAACAGATTTTAGCGGTGGGACTCGTTCTTAACCACCGTTCTTGCACACATTCTCAGATGTGTGCCATATTGTCAATGCTGGCAGCTATTGTTTCACTCATTTACTTCTTAGAGCAAATTACTCCCTAATAATATCTCTACCTTAGAGTTTTTCTCTCCTCTGTGCCAGCAAACCTGTTCACACTGCATATGTTAATTATCTGCACATCTTCATTATGTTCAAAAAGCTTTAGGTTCAAGCTGTGCCGCCTGGCGAGAGCCTCTGACTCAGTTTTGTGCCAACTTTCCACTTTTTCTCTTTCCATTTGTTTCTTTCAACATTTTTTTTTCCCTTGCTCTTTCACTCTCAATATCTCGCTCTTTTCTTATAAAGTTGCAAAGTTAGCTACGCTCTTGTGTTAACCTTTTTTCCTTGTCTGCCATCTATTTTTCTAACAGGTAATTAGAGGGGTTTTAAGATTCTAGTTGTATTTGCTGTTTCTATTAATTTATCTCAACTGTCTTTATTGTGGAGCTGGTCAATAGGACCATTCACAAGAGAGTATTTTTGTTTCATTTGAAAACCAGAAGTATCATATTGTTTTTAGATGTCGGTTCTGAAACCCATTTCCGACCCAATTATCTGCTTTCTCGAAGTTTTTAAAAGCTTTTCAAGTAAGCCATTCTTCCTACCAGAGAGTTCAAAGAGCCAGAATGGAATTCCACAGCCAGCTGTTGTCTGATTAATAAACCTTTATAGAGCTTGCAGCTGGACTTGACACTTTTGTCATAAACCTTCTGGAATATTATGACAAAGACAAAATGAGGGAAGTCCTCTATTCGTCTTTGGGTGTGATGTGGTGTTGCAGCCCCTCAAAAAAGGTTTTCCCTAAACTATTACTAGTTTAGCAGGGACCGATCCAATCCCTACAGTTGAGACTGGAAGTTGTTCCAGTTCAAGAATATTCTCCCTAACCTGAGTCCTCTTTGTTTCAACGTCGTGTGTCTGTCCCCAGCCAGTGCAAGGGTAACTAAACCCCTGGTCAGATACTGACTCCACCCACTGGCAATTTTTGAAAAGTGCTGGAAAAGTGGGCAGAGCCCAGTGGAGGAGGGGGCGTGCACCTGAGAAGCATCTCTCTGTTGGCAAGGGCGTGGTTAGCTGGTACTCTGTGACATCACAGAGTACCGCGACTTCCAATAGGAAAATTCAACTGCAGTAGCCACTGTTCAACCTGAAGAGGGCAGCACTCAGACGTTTTCACTCCATATATTGTAGAATTAAAACACTTTAAACCCAAATGTCAAAAATTACTTTGATCAATGAACAGCCTTAATAAAGCCCCAGATCATTAATTAAAAAAAGTTGTTTTAGGTTTTAGTTACCCTTTAAATCTCCTTTGAAAGAAACTGTAAAGTTCAGTCCTTTTGTTCTCTATGTCAACTGGATGCATGAAACTGCCTTAACTGGCCTGAAAATGTCAATATCAGCCTCACCTACTCTGCGTGGGTAATGCTATTTACTACATTGATTGAATAGAGAACAGCATGACGGTGTGTTCGAACGCTTTGAGCAGATCCACGAGCCTTTAATTCCATATGCTCCCACACACACTTGCTTACATGTCTATGCGTTTAAGAGAAGAGCGTGTGATTGTAATTTGCCACAAAAACACTCCATGCCCAAAACCACTGGAGAACAAACACACGCATGCGCGTTGGCTAGCACATGCTATTGTGTCCACAGAGCCTTAGCTCGCACCGAGAAGACACAGGCAAAACCAGAGGAGCATATGTCCAATTAGGACTGGAAGTTAGAGCTGCACCAGCCCGTGGGGGGGTCATGTCGTAACGCAACTATAAAACGCCACTGCCTCCAGATCTGGGAACAGGAGGCCTGCCGTTTGTGGTTAACCAAAATGAAGGAATGATTGCTCGGTGGTTGGAATTCAAAAACCCTCAGACATGCTACTGAGACTTAAGAGATAGAAGGGGAGAAAAATACAAGTTTAACCTCTGTTTATCTTAACATGCGACTGTGATGAACTGCCTCCTTTCCTCTTAGCGCATGTCACTTTCATATTTAGAGGATTGTCACTTTTGGAGCCTTTGTGTTTTTCTCGTCAGTAGAACCATCTGTCCTCTTCTTCTTTGGGCCTGTGTGTCTCAAGACTCTCCCTTTGCCAAAGTCTCTGGCTTGTTTTTTTTTCCTCTTTCCTCCCTTTTTTAATCCTGGAAACCTTGTGAAGTGGTGTGGCGAGGTGCCGAGCATGGTGCTCTGCAGAAATGGAGGCCAGCTGTTGCCAGATCGTGAAGAATCTCCTTTATGTGACAATAAGTCAAGGGGGCCAACTATCCCAAAAGCCACCCGTCCATATCTCACTTGTCCTCAGGTGACAGTTGCTGGACAAGCACAGTATTTGAAATCACTGGATAGAGAGGTGCATAGTGTAGCCAGACATAAAGGTACACACTGTTAAGTTTCAGGAGTGACAACCTCAATTAAATGTGGGAGCGAGTCCCCTAAATTATCATTCCGTGAATACGGAACACAAATCTGCAATTATTGACACCGTGGAAACCATATTAAAATTCTGCCGTCTCGTTTGTTTGGTGTCCGCTGGAATATAAAAAAAAAAGTAATATTATAGTGACAAAAGACTTCTTGTGTTCTGCAATTTTAACTAAAGCACAATAGACGGAGGTGTTGTGTTTTGTTTATGCTTAAAGGAGTGTTTTAATATACTCACATTCTAGTCAGAATGCGAGTCTGATACTACTCCATAGGGCTTGGATTATGAGGCGTGTCTTAATCGAACCAGGAAAAAAAAAACCCTCCTCTGCACTCAATTGGATAGACCTACAACCAATCAGAGCAACGCAGTAAGTGGCGAATGTTGAGCTACGCATACACACGCTGGAGGAGAAATCACAACGACCACGGGCTTTCATTGCGTCCCATCTTCTTAGAAACCATCGGAGCCAGCTGATAAATGAAACTTTTGCCGAATCCCGTGGGAAGGACGAAAAATACGACAAATGCCTTGATTGCAGTTCTCCGTTCGTATTTTAAAATAAATACGCTGTCGAATTCTTTCACAACAGACGTGATAGTGGAATCTATACATCTCAATTCTCCAGCTGCAGTTGATTGGCCCGACGATTTCTGAACTCATCGTAATTACTCCTCAATGGATCGAGTCCAGACCGAACTTCCCGACCAAAAAATGTCCAGGCTAGTTTTTAACGTGCATCAGAGATGTATCTCTCGTCTGTCATCTCTCATATCTCTCATTGATGTCATTAACAACTAGTTGTTCAGTTTGATTCGGTTCAGACTGTGCATAATTTTTCTTAATGCGGCTGTCACTACTACTTAACTTTCATGAGTTAATTCGGTTGTGGAATGTGTTTCTCACTCCCGTAAATGACTAAACTGTGTGTACAGAAACGGATTAAGCACTAAATGGTGAATTGACAACCGAATTTAGCTGCAGTGTGTAGGTTGCCAAAGTGTGGCCTACCTTACAGCTTATTGCTTATCCACTCAGACAGGAAGTCTAATCAACCAACCACAGGTTGTTCTGCCTTTATAATCCATTTAGGTGAATGAAATATCCAACAGATTTGGACCAATTTATGTCCAAAATGGCCTCAGATGGTCTAGGACTTTGGTTGAAAAGATTTTTTCATATTTGACCTACAGTATAATGGCAAGACTCTTTGTTCATGACTAACAACATAATTGTTGTCTCTCTCTATTTCTTCAGCAGGTCCAGGGTCAGTTGCCTCCGCTGATGATACCTGTGTTTCCTCCAGATCAGAGAACTCTGGCCGCCGCTGCAGCACAACAAGGATTTCTACTTCCTCCAGGGTTCAACTACAAGCCGGGCTGCAGTGAGTATTAAAGCAGCATTTCATTGGTGGGTTGTTAAATTAAAGACTTCAGTCTAGTTTATTATTCACACTAGAGATTTCAAACCAGATTGCTGAAAGCGAAGTCTTAAACCCAACGTTGAGCAGCATCTCCTTCCTGTCTGGTGTGTTATTGAGATCAGCCAACACCACTGATGCCCATCATCTCCCGCACACGACAGACTCTCAGACTAGACAAACTCGCTTACTTTTGTGTCTCTGTATTTCTTGTTCAAAAGTAGGAACAGAAAGAAAAAAAAAGAAAACTTCCTCTGGGGTTTGTGTTTTTGGCCGTAGCAGTCCAACTGTGAAGCAATGTGTTGTTTACCGCGAGAAACGAGGCGGCAAGTGCCAGCAGCGCAGCAGCAGAACGCTCGCGCTCTCACGGGGGGGTAGAGTGACCTGCCCCAGGTTTCTTCATATTAACACGGGTGGCCGCCAGAACACGCGTCCAGTACGCCTCGCACACGCCTCCGACTCCTCTCCAACTGTACGCGTGCACACAAACATTGCATAGATCACACACTCGCACACTCACATTTCCCTCGTGAGACGGACCGGTACGCATCTCCAGCTCCGCCCACTGCGCTTCACAGTTTCCCAAACAAGTCCCCCCACCCTCTTCCTCCTCCCAACGGCCTCCCTCCCTCCCAACCATAAACCCTCTATTTCAATTAAAGCCAGCAGCACCATCAAACCCTGCCCAAAATTTCAATTACGCATGTCATTTAGTTACCATTACAGTGCTCGCTCACGGGGGAGGAAGCCGTCGTTTGAACCCTCGAAACCGGAAAGGAACAAAAAAGGGGGATGAAATCCCTCTGGTCGCAGGGTCTGGACTAAGGGGATGCTGGTTCCCACCCATTGCTCCCCGGAGCCGGGCCACGGAGCTCTTCCAGTCAGTCTGAAGATACTGCCTTCTCGCCAACAGCAACATGTTTGCTTTTCTTAGTTTTGCTCTTTTGTTACAGCTGTACCCAGGAGAGACATAAAATAGCTGGAATATTTGTATTTGTTTAGGGACTGAGAGAAACACAAGAAAAAAAAGACAAAACACACACATCTCCCCAGAATACATCCTTGAATTGGGTCCAGGGCAATCTTTAACTAAGCGATGGGAAAAATGCTTTGGACTGGCTGATAGGAGCGTATGGTTTATTGCTTACTGAGACAAGTTCCGACTTCCTCTACAAACCCCTTTAACAGACACTCAAGAGTCCCTGGCTGTATTCAAATAAATGTGGCTGCTGCCTTATCAACAACTGCATTGAAGTGCACTTTTTAATAAAAAAAAATTACATTTTATTAATTTACTTCCATCAGATTCCATTCCAATTCTGCCTTACTGGATGCACAGAATGGTGGGATGTCATGGGCGAAGGGCACATTTATGCTGGCTTCAAAACATGACCAGACCTCCACTCCATAAATCGCTGATTCTTTTAGAATAACAGAATGATCGTGTCACTTTTATATTTCAAAGGCCATCTATCAGCATATTGAGACTTTCTTCCCTCTGTTCTTCCTCAAAACGCTTGTGTCCAACCTCTCCTCCCTTTTTGGCCGACATCGTTCCATTGTTCGTCGCGCTTTGCTCTCGAAAACCGATTTGAGAACACACTCGTGGTTTCTCATGTCACAGGCCTTTTCAGCGCAACGCTAATAACCCCCCCAACCTCCTCTAGCCGAACTGGACTGACCTTTACCTCCCGGTCATGTAATTATAAATCCCATATCTGCAGGTGGACGCTAATAACTCTCGCTATTCACTCCACGTGTTCTGATTCATCTCTCCAACGCAGAGGCTCTTGTGCGGGGCCCGAGGAGACGGGGCACTGACGTTACCTCATTAATTACCGTCCTCTCCTTATCATGCCTTAGCCTTCAACTGCTATTGTGCTCGGGGTATTAGAGCTGCAGCCACACAATCAGCCTTTCATTAGAATGGAGGGGGGGACTTCACAATGGAGGTCTTTACCGACAGAAGAGAAAAAGCAGTGAATCTGTCGCTCCATCGAAGGAGAGGAGAGGGGGATGGGGCTCATACCCTGTGCAGAAGTGTTGGAAGACGAAATGTGTGAAAGAAAAAAAAAATCTACAGCATCTGACATACCCATAATGCCCTTTTCCTCAGGTGACCCTTACCCTCTACAGCTGATCCCCACGACTATGGCAGCCGCTGCTGCGGCAACGCCTGGCCTCGGCCCTCTTCAGCTGCAGGTAACGTCCATCTTGTGGGTTTTGTTTGTGTGTGTGGAAATTCAGTCCATTTTTCCCAACCTCTCAAACAAAATCTCTTTTTCCTCCCTAGTTTTTTTCCCCCCTTTTTTGTTTTGTGATCCCGATAGAGAACAACAATGCCCACTGTTCTACCCAACTCTTTTCCTCATGCCAACTGCAAGTTGCCATAGAAATGGGCCTTTGTGAGGGGCCAGAGCCCAGAGAGAGAATGCCGCACTGCTGGCTCTGGGGTGCTGATATTGTTCACTGTGGAGCGAAGGGTACCATAGAAACTGTTTTAAGGGGGACACTGAACAGAGAGCAAACACAAAAAGATATTATGGGCTGTCTGAATAGTCAAACCCTAATGCAGCCTCACTGTGCTGCTCTGAAACTGAAAACGCAGTAAACATGCGTCTCCGCGTCTGTCCTTTTCCCTTTTCCTCCCTAGTTTGGTGTCTGAAAGGAGAAGAAAAGTATTAACGGGACTACATCTGATTCCCTTGGCACCAGGTTAAGAGCCTGGCTGTTCAAAATGCGTTTACCTGGGGACCCATGCGGGCCCGGCCCTTCCTCTCTGTTACCTCTGTTACCAATTAAAGTGGCCACCATTAGCCAAACATTAGATGCACATTAGAGTGAGTTTTAACATGTAAGGTTATGCACCTGCACATCTGTATCACAGTTTAAGCATACGCAAGAGGTATAAATGGCTCTCACACATACACACTCACACAGAAACAGGTGGTATTCCCAGGTGCCCTCTGGATAACAGGTAATAAAACAGTTTTTTTGTGTGTGTGCACTCACCCCTCTGTGTATGACTGGCTTACTGCAAGAATCTTGTCCCGTCTGATTTTATCAGCTTCTGAGCTTGTCTCCATATGTTCCTGCGTGTTAAGATACAAAAAAAAATCCCAGATTGAACAGCTTTGTCAGCCGCAATTGGATTTCGCTAGAAAAACAACTGGAGAAAAAACAACAACAACTTCCAATGCCACTGTTCTCTCATTCAATCCTCAAATCTCCCTTGCAACACACACACTCAGAGAGAGAGAGCGATAGAGAGAGAGAGATTAGGGCTTTGTCACAAAGAAAATGATTTACTAAGGCTAACCTAAATACAGATGTCTCAGACAGAAGCACGTTGGATTTCCTCTGGGACAATCTGCGCATTTGCCCGTCTCATCTTCAGACCCCACAACGCGATGAGAGGCCCAAAATATTTGCCTTGGTCACTCCACGAGCCGTGGTTTAGTAGTTTATGCACTCAACCTGATGTGCTGAATCTGGCTTGCAATTCCTTGCCCCTCGTCTCAATGCACTTTATGTGCTCTCGGATATTCTATATTTATAGTTACGTATGTTTCTATATATGAGTACAATACATATTCAATAGGAAAATAAAGTGTCTGAAGTTGCTATGCAAAAGTGTAGACAGCTTTTCTGATTGTAATTTGTAGCGCATTACTGTAACTTTAATTTGAACACATTGTAATTAGGCGCCCCAAAGTTTTCAGAGAAATTGATTTTGTGTGACAATTCTCTTTAAGTTATATTTCAACACACAAACAGACTTGTAGATCCCAGACGGAATAAGTCGCAGCTTTATGAGACTGCTCACCTACACACCGCCCATTAAACAAGTCCTCTAAGTGTGTGAGAGGGAGTCATTGCTCTAGGGGTCACTATCTTAAAGGTGTTTGCCATTAGTCACTGCAGCAGTCTTTAAACCTGGCCACAAAACCACTTTTCACAACTGAGGCCACAGGTCACACTGGCCTAATATTCAATAACCAGCTAAATTAACCTGCGTAACCCACCAAAACCACACACACACACAGAAGCTGAGGGACAGTGACTATGACTTTGTTGGAAAGTGGAGAGAGAGATAAAGAGGAAATAAGAAAAGGAGGGGAGTAATAGAACGGTATGAGCTGTGAGCAGCATACTGAAGAGGTATAAAGTGGGTCAATGGAGGAGGTCAGCCATCATATGTAGAGGCAGATGTTGGACCATATTGCACCGGATTACTGCAGCACACAGGAGAACGAGAGAGAGAAAGCGAGAAGGGAGACTGTATTTAATGCCGTAAAAAATAGTACATGCATTTCCATTTGTAGTTCAAACCCCCAGTGATTTATTTTTGATGATAAGCGCTGTGAATTCCTTTCAGATAGTGATCTGGTGGAATTGTCCGAGGACGATGAGGTCAGTGGCACTGTTAATAGATGGCATGGCTGGATTGATCCTGTCCAACTTGCCCTATCTGCTCCACGACATAATAAGCTTACATAACATTCCCAGCGTATCACACAATGAGAATGTTATTTTGCCGCAAAGCTTCCCACTTCCTTGACAATCCCTGAAAAAATTAAGTTACATTTTAATTTTTTTTGCAAAAGCAAAAGCAAAAAAAAAAAAAAAAACATAGCTTTTTGTAAAGCTTTTGCTCTAATTGACACTTAAGAGGGAGATTTCCTGGCAGCGGCTTCAGTCAGACGCAACTCATGTCAAAGTTCATCTTGCCTGGCTGGCGCACTAATCAAAATAGCACAAACTAGTGTTTAGTTTAGCGCAAAAAAAAAAGAATAAGAAGAAATGACAACAATGGAAAAAGCATGAGACGCACAATAGCCAGCGGTGACCAAAATGACAATAGCTTAGAGGATCACTCCGAACTGCTTCCATTTTGACAACAAAGCAAGATGGGAAAAGAAGCTCATAATCTGAGTAAAGCAGGGGATTACTGGAGAGCGAGAGATGTCTGCTCAGCCACATAAAGACGCACAGATCCACTCCGCTGGATAGCGGCTGACAGCAGCCCATCTTCCTGTGCTCAGGGAGGAGACAAGGACTTAGCGAGGATGGGGTGGTGGCTTTGTTAAAACATGTGTCACCAACACTAATACTCTCCAATCAGCCTTACGAGTTAAAGCGCAAATGCCAATCTATCTCCTCATAGACACGTCAAAACACACAGACCCTACGTAATGGAGTCACATTTGACCCACTGGATCAGACAGGCCTGCAGCATTACGGACTGGCATTGGGATCTCCTTCTGTGTGTTGGCGGTATGCGTTTTCTTACCTTTGTTGCCTTAAACACACACACACAGTGACTTGTGGTTAGAGAATTAGAGCTGGCCTAAGACTCCTGTGGGGATTAGCAAAGAGAGAGAGAGAGAGAAGCTTTAACAGTTCAAAAGGACGCAGCTTGACTGAAGGAGTCAAGAGTCCCATCAAATCCCTCACAGATATACACCCTCCCCCATTCAGCACCTTTGTGTGTGTGTGTGTGTGTGTGTGTATGGCTGACATTTAAATTCCTCTGTTACATCCCCACTTTTGAGATCAGCCACCCCTTCATCCCCCATTCTTGCTGCGTGAGCCCGTGGGCACTCGAGGGGCATTGTGCTGTCACTTCCTGTTTGCTCACGTTGATGGCGGGGTGGCAGCGCTTTGAGCGTGTTCAGTGGCAGCCCCTGTTGGAAGGGAAGTGTATGTGTGTCGGTCTAGTGATTGTGACTGACAAGAGCTGGCCCTGTAATAGAACTCAATTCAGAAAGAAAATAAAGCAGTCTGATGCAGTGGACCGGACACAGAGCATCTCGCCCTCTCACGCACACACACAGACAAGGCAAGCTCCGACAGGGGCCGTATGTCACGCTCAGGCACACACACAACCAGAGGCCATGGTGGGAGTAATTGAACAGAAATGACCAACAAGAGTTTTATTTCATGTCCTGCTCCCCTGTGTGGACTACAGCTCACACACTGAGGTCACCTCCTGATCAAAAAATCCAAGAGAAATGTGTGTGTGCGTTGAGGTGCTGTATATACACATTATCCCGCTCATTACTAACCACAGTATAGATTTGAGTTGAAATTATTTTATGTTAGAAAAAAGAGTGATGCAAGAGCTAAATTAAACGAATTTCATAGTACAACAGTCGATTATACGGTTTATTTGATTAGAATCAAATATTACAAATAGCAGTGTATACAGTAGGTACTTTTCTTATTAGGGATGCACAATATATCTATCATATTTTTATCAGCCATAAGTAGGGCCATTTTTTTTAAAAACTGGCAAAATAGTGTCATCATATTGGCATAAATATAATTAAATATATATCAGAGAATTTTTTTTTTTATTCAGTGCACATCTACTTTTATGTATACAGTCAATTTAGCAGTGTCCCCTTTTAAACTTTACAAATTTAGGCAGATAAAAGTCAGTGTGAGTGGATAGAGATGTTCTGTATGGAGATATGTCTCAGCATGATGGTGCGTTAATCTCTGTGTTCTCATCTGATAGAAATATTTAATTCTACCAGATACAGCCGACAGAAGATTGTGGAGAATGTGCTGTTGAGGTTGAGAGAGAGAGAGAGAGATAGAACTGCCATGGCCATTTGCATAAACCAGTCTTTGTTTCCTGCTGGTGGCTGGCAGCCAGAGACGAACAGAAGGACGGAAGTTTTACTCACAAACAGCCTTTGCCTTCCAAACCTTAAAGAGAAAAAATACAATTTAAAAAACAGCCCGTCTCTGCAGCTACTGTAAACACAGAATTGGTGCCTCATATTTCCCCACAAATACAATAAAAAGCTCTCTCTCTCTCTCTCTCTCAAATTCATTCTTTGCTTTCCTCAAAGTCCTCAAAATTTCACATGAAAGCTGCACAAACGTACTTGTAGGCAATGCCCAAATTCCCATTCCTGGAATCTGTTTTACGCAATGTCCAGCCACTGTCTGCCTGTTACCGTAGAAACATAATACATGAGCTCTGCATTTTTACAGTTGGGTTATTGCTTGCTTGATTGACTGATACAGGTTTGCTCCATTGGTTATGCAGATGACAATATCTAGAGAATTGATATAGCCAATATAAATTGATATATGCGTGTAGATATACATAACACTTCTGTTTAATTACTTTTAATTAATTCAAAAATGCATGCAATTATTTGAAGTATTCAAAGTATTTAAGTGTTAGAAATAAATACTATATAATTAGGAAACAAACTTAAATACTGCTTGTATTTAGGTTTCTTTATATTTGATTTAAAAAATGTAGACATTTTCAAAATGTTAATTTACTGTTAGTGCAACATGACATCATGACTTTTTGCGTAAACATACATGCCACTTTCAAGTCAAGTGGAGTGTTATCTCTACGCATTTTGAGCTATCCGCGTGTATGTCTACGCCGTCAAATGTCCAAGCGAAATGAAGCAAAAATCTGGGGAGCGATATTTTTTTCCTAGGATGGTAAGGGAACAGTCGTAAATGCCATTAACCCCAGTGACTGGTAGGTTTAGGGACGGGGTTGATATACAGTAATAACGTTAAGTCAACGGCGTTCATAAACACGCTGAAAAGCGATTATGCGTGTTGATAGCACGCCAAAAAATGGAAATACGAATTGGCGTGTCATACACACGCTACTTCATGCGATCAGTCTGGTTAGTGAAGCTGATATATTTTTTACTGATGAAACTATTGCCCGAGTGTTCATGGTTACTTTAATCAGAAAAGATCAGCCAATCTGTCATTTAATACATTTGAAACGATAGAAATGAAAAGGAGCAACATTTTGATTTATTCTGTCAAATGGCTGTATGCTGCATTTCATTGAATCATGCTGGCAGATGTGTTTTTGAGTTTTAAGAGTGTTTTCTCATGGGTCCTTCTGTCCTGGTGTGCATTCTTAAGCTCGAGTAAAAGAATCAATAGGGGGTCCGGCATTTGTTTCCACTCTCAGTGGCAGAGAAATTCACAACTTCTCTCTTTACATAAACACATCCACCAGTTTTTCACCTTGAGAGGCCCCTTTTTCAGTCTTTTCTTTCCTTAGTGAATATGACCCTTATGGTGAGTGCATTTTTTCCCAGAATGCACCTTGGCGGGGACATGTCTCACTCAGGCGTCTGCTAGCTGTTAGCGTAGCCCCTTGAGGCCGGATGGTGGAACATAAAGTGACAGCTCTGTCCCCTCACACATAAACAACCATCAGCCCTCTCCACTAATGGCCAAACCAGCTTTTTAGCCTGTTTTGTTTTTTTGTGCGTTCTGTGTATTCATTTATTCATGGACCTTTCTCTCTTCATCCACTCTTCTGTCCCCTCTTTCTCTCTCTCTCTATCTCCCTCTGTCTCTTTACAGCAGTTGTATGCTGCTCAGTTAGCTGCCATGCAGGTGTCTCCGGGGGCCAAACACAGCACAGTGCCTCAGGCCAACCTGGCAACCGGAACACACTCGCCCACCAGCGGCCAGAGCGAGAAAAACAGAAGCACCCCACCACCAAAGCCCAAGGTATGTGTTTGTGGATGCGAATTAGGCTGGAACACCTGTGTACATTTTCCGTCCAGAGCTAATAGTCTTTTTATGTACTGGTTTTGATGTTCTTTAGGTTGAAAACCCATAACTCTAGCAAGCTGGCACAATGCCCTCAATTCTCCATGTTGCATTTCAAGTGCTTTTTTATGCCAGCTTCTGAATGTCCTTGGAACCCAAGGTCTAACTACCACCACTGGTTTGTGCCGTTTTCTGACAGAGTATAAGTCTCATAACAGGTATCTTTCCCTCTGGCCAGTGTGGCAACAGGAGGCCAGAGCTATCGGAGCGGAATAAAGCTCCATGAATATCAGGCAGGGCAGAAATAAAAGCAGCCTGTCTGGCCTCTCATCCCTCCTGCTGGGCTGGTCATTCTAGACGCCCGGACACCCCTGCAAGCCCATTCTGTCCCGCTCAGCAGTACAATAGCTGGACCGTGGGGCGGCCAGGGCTGGATAAACATGTGTGAAGGCTTGTTGCCCGCTCTCACTCCGGCCTTGAGCCACGGCTGAGCCCGATGCCTATTTGGAGAAGGAAGAGAACGGACCTGGAGCTCAACCACATGCCTGTTGCATAAGAGGAAGAGCTCAGGATACTTTTCCCTCCGTCCATCTCAGTGAAGCTTTGGCGGTCGCCATCGACTGTGTCTGGCCTCCTGCTGCTCATTGTGTCAAAGGCTAATGAAGGCCGTTTTCCTTAAACATGTGGTCCTTTGTTGTCACATGATCAAATACATGGAGATAAAGCAGAGGGATAGGGATAATACAGATAATTTGCAGTGCCGCCTGCACCTGCTAGGCCTCCGCAGCCACTGAGCCATGAGAAAATTACGTTTTTCTTAAATATATCTTTCTCATATTCCCCGTCAAGTATCTAAAAGTTGATTCAGAGCCCTCCCTTTCTCCTTCTCTTTCAAACCTTCCCTCAATCGTGGTTCTCTCGTTTGTTCTCTCCATGTCTGCAAGCTTTTTGCCATCATGAAGGGGAAGGCATGTATATTTCAAGCTTGCAGCCCTGGGGTACTTCCTCTCATTTTGAGATGTGTGGCGTGTGTCGGACAGCTGGTTGGACTGAGGCGTACAGAGCTTAAGTGCTTTACCCTGGGGGAGGCCTCACAACTCAGGTGCATAAAAGACTCATATCACAGTTTTCACTCTGTGACCTACTCAGATTTACACATCCACACTATTCCTTCACTCAAGCTCAGTGCTGCCACAGTTGGCTTTGAGATTCCTCCTGAAGTTGCTACTCATGTGTTGGTCACAATGGGCTTGAACACTTCTATCTTGTGGGAGTGTCTCTGGTTTCTTTACAGTCTCTAAAGTAGACTGTACTGTCCGCAGTATATTTGAAGGATGTATACATTCATGCAAAATTCAAAAGAGATCACACAACTACTTGGTGGACAGTATATATATATACACACTCACCTAAAGGATTATTAGGAACACCATAGTAATTCTGTGTTTGACCCCCTTTCGCATTCAGAACTGCCTTAATTCTGCCTGGCATTGATTTAACAAGGTGCTGAAAGCATTCTTTAGAAATATTGGCCCATATTGATAGGATAGCATCTTGCAGTTGATGGAGATTTGTGGGATGCACATCCAGGGCATGAAACTCCCGTTCCACCACATCCCACAAATGCTCTATTGGGTTGAGATCTGGTGACTGTGGGGCCATTTTAGTACGGTGAAATCATTGTCATGTTCAAGAAACCAATTTGAAATTATTCAAGCTTTGTGACATGGTGCATTATCCTGCTGAAAGTAGCCATCAGAGGATGGGTACATGGTGGCCATGAAGGGATGGACATGGTCAGAAACAATGCTCAGGAATGCCGTGGCATTTAAGCGATGCCCAATTGGCACTAAGGGGACTAAAGTGTGCCAAGAAAACATCCCCCACACCATTACACCACCACCACCAGCCTGCACAGTGGTAACAAGGCATGATGGATCCATGTTCTCATTCTGTTTACGCCAAATTCTGACTCTACCATCTGAATGACTCAACAGAAATCGAGACTCATCAGACCAGGCAACACTTTTTCAGTCTTCAACTGTGCAATTTTGGTGAGCTCTTGGAAATTATAGCCTCTTTTTCCTATTTGTAGTGGAGATGAGTGGTACCCGGTGGGGTCTTCTGCTGTTGTAGCCCCTGGATGTTTTTCCCTTTTCACACCATTCTTTGTAAACCCTAGAAATGGTTGTGCGTGAAAATCCCAGTAACTGAGCAGGGTGTAAAATACCCAGACATGCAACCATGCCACGCTCAAAATTGCTTAAATCACCTTTCTTTCCCATTCTGACGTTCAGTTTGGAGTTCAGAAGATTGTCTTGACCAGGAACCACACCTCCAAAGGCATTGAAGGAACTGCCATGTGATTGGTTGATTAGATAATTAGATAATTGCATTAATGATAAATTGAACAGGTGTTCCTAATAATCCTTTGGGTGAGTGTATATATCTGTGTGTATGTATACAGCGATTAAAACTTAAAATAATTTTTTTTTTAAATGTTTTAATTCTAAGTGACTCGTGTGTCATTTTAGATGAGATTTAAGCTTATTCCCTATTCTAACATGTATGATGCATCTTAAAGCTAGCCTTACTTCTCTTACGAAGCTTTGCCAGTCTTCATTAGTTCTCCTTTCACCAGCTTCCTTCTCTTTGGCTAACATCCCACCCAAGGATTTGCTTCTCAAAGAACAATCCACCATCGGGGCGGGAGGCTGGCATTATCTGTCATAAATATTCAGTTTTCCTCTTCAATGCAGCGTCGCTACACACCCGACACAATATAGGTCATGATACAGTATTCTCCTCAATCACATCTTAGTGTTCTCATTGAGTAGGGTCTTTTGTGTGTCTCCCTTATGATGGAGTCCACATCCCACTGGTTCCCCTTCCATTGAGAACAGCTCTAATGAGGACAATCCTGTTACGGCCCATCACAGCACGGGCGGTGAGGGAAAAGTCTTAATCAAGCTCTCCAGACCTCAGAAGCTCTGTTCCAAAAACCTAGCTTGCTGCCTACTCGCTGCCTACTGCCTTTGAAACAGCGAATTTCTGCTCGTACTACTGCAGAGCCAAGACCAGGAGAGACACTGTAGCTCTGTGAGATGTCGTGGTCCTCTATGGCTGCTGGAAGTGTTTGTTTCTGGCCATTCATGAGAGACGGGAAGGCTCTAGAAACAGGTGTTGGTACAGAAGCTGCGCTCCCCATGTTAGCACATATGAGATCCCACTGCAGTGCCAGGCAAGGATGATCGACAGCTATGGCTTAGACGAGGGCTGACAAGGTCATTTGATCCTGGAGAATTGCCTGAGTTCCCAAACTTCTGATAGTTAAGAAAAAAACTTGATGAAACTTGATGGTCTTGATGATAAGTTTAGGCCTTCGTTGCAATGTTCTGATGCTGTGTACGGGGCAGCATCTGTCATTCTGAGATCTAATTATCCCTTATGGCGCCTTCTCTGATGTGATTATGATGTCAGCATGGTTGATATCTTGATGTCCACTATCACAAAGCGGTTATCCAGGGTTATTTGATTATTATCTAATTGGCATCTGTGAACAAATTTGAAGCCATAATGTGTGTCAAATAATCATGCTTATATTTACAGAATACTTGGCCATTCTGTGTTTGCGTGTATGCTTGTATGTGCTTTGTTTTCTTAATGCGCAACATGTTTGGTAAATGTGTGTGAATCTTCTCACCTAAGCATGTTTCTTTAAATGGTATGCTCGCTTTGTCCCTGTTCTCTTGTTTGATCGAGCATGGGTGTGCTGCATGTTGATTACGCCATGGCAATGCGCAAAGTCAATACAATAGCGACAAGTTTTTCAACTGGCCCGCGCAACCACAATTACTTTTACCTTTCCTTGTGGTCTGGCCGCATTTGCTGAAAACGGCAGCATGCAGTCAGCTGATTTGACCCCCTGCTGGGAGTTTTGATTGGGTCCCAAGTCTCTGAGGAGAAAAATCACACCAGGCCAAACGTGTTGCTTTTTTGCAGGACGAGGGCGCTCAGCCCTTGAATCTGTCGTCCAAGCCTAAGGCATCCGAGAGCAAGTCACCCACCTCCCCCGCTTCCCCACAGGTCCCTACCCTGAAGCTGGGCCCCGGGTCCCTGAAGCACAGCGCCCACTCCAGCATTGGAGGACCGCCGTCCAGACTCAGCTCCATAGGTACCCGCACCTCCACAGTTCACTGCAATTCAATAAACACATAAATGGCAGTATTACTGGCTTAATGTTATTACACATTGCCCTGAATGTATCTCTCAAGAGCATTTCCTACTCCCAGGATATGTTTTTTTTGCTGGCACAGACTCTTGTATGAGACGGTAATTGATGTTACATTTTTAGGTTTGCAGAATTTAATTTTGCCTGAAGGGCACATTGTCAAACATTTATTAGTCTAAATGGAGGGGGAGAGCTTGTTAAGCAGCTGTGTTTGGAAGCGAAAGAGGATGGGAAGGTTTAGCGGCGTTTATTTCTGTTGTTTAGAGGTGCTGAATAGAGCCACACAAGCCTTTCTGACAGGCGCTGAGATTAGACAAGCCTCTTATACAACTCTGTTACCACCCACAGCACAAACAACATACATTAATAACACAATAACGCAATATTCCCCCCCTCCCTCCTCACAACAGTTAGCCATTTCAGACTACTTCTTTGTAATCGCTGTGTTTTTCAACAAATCCTGGGATTTAATAGCAGATTAGTGGATTTGCCGCCCAGATGTTTTTTGTTCTGAAAAATGGATTAGGAAGTAAAGTTTTCACCGGAATCCTTTAGAACATGTCGCAGTGAGAGGCTCTTTCAGATCGAGAGATTGAGAGTGCCGTATGTCCCTTGACTATTCCATCTGGTGCACATCTTTAAGGGGTCAGGAGGTATCGTAATGTCAAAGACGTATTCGGAGCCCCACTTAACATGCGTGTGAACTTCCCAGATATTTGAACGACTTTTTTTGTGCAATTCCCTCCTCTTTCCATCATCCGTGTTCTCCACCTCTCTCATCTTTTTGACCTTGTTAAGTGACATCTGTCCCGAGACTTTCCAGCATGCCCGACCCCATGTGTCCCTTTCTTTTTGTGTCACTGTCAGCACAGAAACACAACAAGGGCTGTCAAGTGCTGTGTCCTCTAAGGCCATCACTCTCCCTTGCTTTTTTTTCAGAGGCCGAAAAGAAAGTTCTACTGTGCAGGTCACTGTAATGTGCTGTTTATTTGTTGGGTTATCAAACTGATATACGTCTCTACTTTAAAGAAGTCATTTTAAATGCAAGTACATCTCATAACCATCTCTCTCTAGAGGGGTCGGTGCTCTTAATTAACGCCTCAGACATTTTTTTTGACCCCCAATTAAATTGACTGTAGGGAAGTGTGCACTCATCCTTTTGACTTGTGACCATTTTAGCAGATTCCAGAGATATGACTTTTTTTAAAAAAGAGTTCTCTCTATCATTTCAAATGAAAGCATTTAATCCATCCTATCCTGCATTAGCGACCGGATTAGGCCAGATAAATACTCATAATCTAGCACAGGTCTTTGTTAGATCTATCCTGGTGAGATAATGCTCCATCACACACACACACATGCACTAGCCAACAGATGCAGCTAACGGCTTGGGCGGTTAAGCTGCTGAGAATAATACAAATAATAGCCATGAAAAGATGGTTGGAAACATCTTTGATATGCTCGGAGGCAGATGTTGCGGAATGGGCCAAATTAGACTGCTTATGGCTTTAATACAAGTAATCTCTACTGGTTTTTTTTTTTTCTTTCCACTTTTAAGATTTTCATGAGCTTTGGTCTGAATAAAAGCCTACAGAATGGTAGACAGAGAGAAATATGAGACAAATGGCACTTTTTAGCAAATCTCTGAATGTAAAAATGCGGATTTGTGAGATTTTCATCAGGCTTCAGCATCTGTTTTCAACTGGATTTCTTATCCTTCGTCTGTCCAAAAGCTTGTGGGCTGCCTACAGAGGCAACTTTAAGGCAAAATGAACACTTTAATTAGAGAAAAGCAATCACAAAATGCATTGCAACAGGCACAGAAAAAAATCGCAGACTGTGTTTCAGTACGGAGTGTGTGATGACAGCTTCTGCTGTAAATTAGAATAAGATCAGCTTCGCATGATCATGTTATGTACACATGCATTCCAACCAGTTTTCATTATTCTAGCACTAGACCATAATGCTAGCTGCTTGACCTAAACGCTCATATGCCTGAGAAGTCAATATTTATCTTCCACACTTCTTTTTGTCTGTTTGTTTGAGTGAATGCTAAGAGCTAGTTGTGCCATAGGCAGGCTGAGTCACAGAGGTGACAGTCAAATGGTCAGTGTGTGTGTATGGTAATATTAACACAAATGCTGATAGGTGACCTCACAGCACGCTCAGTGCTAATGTGTGATGCCCGGAGTGCCAGCAGTGTTTTAGTGTTGGGTGACTTCACTTTAAGTCCATACATTGAACCAAAAACGTTTTATGTCAGGCAAGTAGCAAAAATGTTCCAAACATTGAAATTGCTAATGTAATGAAATGATTATGCCCAACAATTTGCAAAATTTTACAATTTAGAAACGACGGGTAAGCTTTACCTGTCTGTTGTCTTCGATCGGTCTCCCTCACACCTGTCATTCTTTCAGACCTGCTGTCGTCTATCACCTCTGGCGGCTACCTGAACGACCACGAGGCCGTGACCAAAGCTTTCCAGGAGGCCAGACAGATGAAGGAGCAGCTTAAGAGAGAGCAGCAGGTGCTGGACGCCAAAGTAGCGGCAGTCAACAGCCTGAGCCTCAACAATGGACGCTCAGAAAAGGTTTGTTTTACTCAAGTCTTGCATTTCTCACTCATTCTTCCAGTCTGCAGACCCCTATCTTGCTCATCGCCAATGAAAAGTGCAAATTAAGTTTAATACACAAACAGATGCGTTAATTACAACAGAAGTGTTTATCTCTGAACAAAGCGATTTCCCAAAGCTGTTCTCGTGAAGAGGGGGAGTAGAGGTGACTAAGATCTGAAAGCTCTTTTGTCGTACACGACGGCAATGTCTGGGAGGCAGGCTGAGGGCAGGCAGGGCGCAGTGAACAGGACGCTAATTTTAATGGCGTAGCTGATGCTAATGTGAAGTGACCGAAGTGACTCCTCGGCTACACGGCTAAATTGGGCTTGTTTGCTAAACACACTGGAGTCAGCTGGTCCACGAGCAACAGCACAGGAAACGCCTTCGCTTTCTGTGGATTTTGCATACAAATGCTTCGAAAAGCAGAGTGTGTCGGTAAACAAGCATTAAATTATGGACACTTTTGCCTCGTCCACCTCTAATGATGTGATTGTGCACACCAGCAGAGGAAGACGCTTGTATATACACAGGTGTCCTTGCTTCCTGATTTTCTCCGCCACACAGAGATTTGGTTTATTTCATAAACCTTTGTGTGTAAACTCCTATCAACATCTCCAAATACACAGTAGGTAAATGCTTAACAAAAGCATGTGTATGGGTCAGTTGATCTCAACACTGCACTCACGTTTTTTTTTTTTGGGGGGGGGGGGTTTCTTCCCTTGGCCAGGCTTAGTGGCTGTGCTGATTGTTACTAGGTTAATGAAGGTGCATTAGGAATAATCCACATCTCCCAAGCACTCTATCCTTATTATGATTTACCACAGATCAGCTGCACTTTACCCTCCCACAGCTTTACATTCTCTCACACACACACACAAATAACTGTCATCCACGCCGCACTTTTGCACATGTTTTCAGTATGGGATTATTTTTGATTAAATGCCACACATTCAAATGCTGAGAAAAGGGCGGATTGGTTGTGGTCAGTGTGAGGGCAGCACACATCAGGAATGATCTCAGTCTTGGAGAAAAGTGGAGAAAAGAAGTTCTCTTTCCTGTATCTGATAAATTTCAGATTTAAAAAGGTCATTTCAATTCATTGCAGGGGTGGGGCAATCTCATTCTGGATGGTTCATCAATATTTTTTGTCCATTTTCTTAGAACAGAAATAAGTAAAGTAGTTTTTAAATGTGCAATTTTTGTCTTTAGAAGTACATTAGCATATTGATGGTTTTAAAGATAATGGACAGGCTAAAAGCCTCTTAACTACATTTTTTCAATCTTTAAACTTATATTGCGGTTGTTTGTGCTGAAATGCCACATGGTAAAGTGGTACAGTTGTTCTCTCACTATTTTTTTTTTTTTTTTCTGTTACGTGACTGAGGTCCACATCAGCCAGCCCATCTGATGTTTGTTTTCCTCTTCGGCTCATTATCTCCTGATTTTAGACAATTACTGTCCCTCTATTTATTAACCTCAACTCTCAGAGAGTGCGCTGCGGCGCTCTTTGAACTTATTCCCCAGGAACACATGGTGCGGTCAAACCCTGCGTTGTTCCTGAACCCTTTTGTGTCACACTGAGATAAATGGATCGTGAGAGATGAGATGAGCAAGGTCAATCGGCTATGAGATGAAAGAGTTTTAGTGTCGTAGTCTCAGTTGTAACTACTCCAGCTTAAAAGCATCTTTCTCCATTGGCAGGCAATCAATATTAACTATGTATTCTGTCAAAATATAAATTGTGCAAGCAACATACGTATACAAGGCTAATATTTCATTATAGTGTAGTAGATTTATTTATTTATTTATTTTGGGGGCTCTTAAAATAGTAATTATTCTTGCAGCTGAGATGAACAGGAGTGTTAACGGATAGCTTCTGAAAGCCAAAGTTTTTGTGTTGACACATTATCAAACCTGATCATCTCTCTCAGTCTCTCTCGGGAGAGATTCTCTCTCCATTACACATTCGTTTAAACCTCACTCCCTAACTCGGTCTGAACAATTAAATCTCGATGGCTGCAAAATGGTGTAATGCATTTCATTACAGAGTCGCAGAAGGCCCAGGTCACTCTCTAATGGTGAGGACTCTGTCTGCGAGTGTGTTTTAAACGTAGCGTGGATTCAGGATGGAGTCTAATTGACTAATTAAGCCCCAGATGCAGGGGGGTGCGTGTTTAGAGAGAGCAGGGGGTGTTGTGTTGAAATATGCAGCCCGGCTACATTAGCCATGTAAATGCATAGTAAATCTCTTTTTATTGGGTGTAATAAATACCCAGGAGGCTGTGCGGTCCAGCCCCGCTCTCATCTCTAGAGCGCTTGTGCTCTCTAATGCATTGACCTCAGGGCTAAGCGAGAGAGACCGAGAAAGAGAGGGGAAGAATAAGTGTAAATAGATTGCAGGTGGCATCTAGACTACTCATATTTGATGGATAAACATTAACTCTTCCGATTCACTTTCCATGCACTTGATTCATCAGTTCATCTGTGTTTATGCAAATTTCATCTGTTGATTTGTAAAGAATGAATTTAAATGGATTGGTTTGTATATTGTGTGTACAGGATAAAGCTGCTCTTGAGAGCTTAAGCCAGCATTTAAAACAGTCTGAAGAGAGCAAGTTCACTCACGCAATGATGGACTTTGGCATCAGTGGAGATTCAGATGGTAAGATCATAAATTCCTCGCTCAATTTGTGTTATTGTGTAATCAAAAAGTTCAGTTTAAAGTTGCAATGAAATGGATTTTATGATTCAATTCATCCATGCGTCATAGACACTTTTTTTTTAAATAGTCACGGCCAACATGTACGTATGAGCATGTTTGTCCACCCGCTTTCCTTCTCCAGGAAGCCCGAGTGTGTCGGACTCCCGGATCTTCAGAGAGGCTCGAGGGCGTGGCGGCAGCAGCGAACCGCACATCAAGCGGCCCATGAACGCATTTATGGTCTGGGCTAAAGACGAGAGGAGGAAGATCCTTCAGGCCTTCCCTGACATGCATAACTCAAACATCAGCAAGATTCTCGGTGAGACAGTGCCACTAAATCTCTCCAACCACTTATCTAACCGCTTCAAGTTTACTCGCTCCATCTCTTGTTTTCAGCTGTGCCGTTTTTGACTGAAGGCTTTTGGTAAAGATTTATTTTTCATCCACTGTATTCCCTTATTGGCTGAGATTTGTGGGTACATCAAATGTGGGTGGGGCTTAAAGGCTGGCTCCTTCGGGAAGAACTACTGTATGCAGAGAATCCCCTCTGTTCTTCCTCCTCAACACACACACACAGAGCCCTCTCCCGCACTGCATTGTGTAACCACCGCCTAATGAATCGCTCTAGAGGGCCGACTCCAACAATGATGATATAATTCATTATGCATTAAACCAGCTCTCCAGTCTGTCTGACATTTTCTCCAGACCTCTGGGATTGTGTTTGACATTTTAAAGAGCTCCTAAGCGTTTTATAACGCCGGAAAATCTGGTTTTAATAAGGCCCCGCTCTCTCAATTGTTAACAGAAGGAGTTCCCCCTTTACAGCACTGGGTGCATGTCAGGGCCAGCGGTGACAGCTTTTCCCCATTAAACATACAGTAGGACTGTGTAAATTCAACGGACTCACATACACACACGCATAACACCCTGAACACACGTTTACTGCAGTTTTTGGGACAGTGGCTTGTGCCTCAGTGTGTAAATGTGTATATATATATGTATGTGTTCACCTCTGTTAATGAGAAAGAGAGACACAGGCCACAGGTACGCCTGTTGAGCTCTGATAATTAGATGGAGTGTGTTAGTGGCCCACTTAACCCGCTGTCACCTGGAATAATGTTGTGTGTGTGTGTGTGTGTGCGCGCGCTTTGGAGGGCAAAGAGCACACTCTATTCTTCTCTGTCTGACATCAGTTCCACTCAAAGGTACTCATTAGACCAAACAAAAACTCTCTCTTGGTGCAAAGTGCCGTTTTAAAAACCATACTAAAGCATGAGTGTATTAGATGTGCAAAATTACATATTTTGAAAATCGAATCGTTACTGGGTTGCCTGAATAATTAGTCAACTACTCTGTCTTAAAAAGCCCTGTATAATTTGGCTGCTTGAGTTCACCTGACTTTGCTCTAGTACGTTTTCGTTTGGGGACATTTGCATTGGGAAGGGTTCTCTAAACACCTTATTGTTCTTGCAGGTTCTCGTTGGAAGGCCATGACCAACCTGGAAAAGCAGCCATACTATGAAGAACAGGCCCGTCTTAGTAAGCAGCACTTAGAGAAATACCCAGACTACAAATACAAACCACGGCCCAAACGCACCTGCCTGGTTGATGGAAAGAAATTGCGCATTGGTGAATATAAGGCCATCATGCGCAACCGCAGACAGGAGATGCGCCAGTACTTCACCGTAGGGTGAGTTCCATTAAATAACTTTTCCTAATGTATTCTTTTAAAGGGATACTCCACGTTTTTTGGAAATAGGCTCATTTCATAACTCCCCCCAGAGTTAAACAGTTGAGTTTTACCGTTTTCGAATCCATTCAGATGACTTTCTGATATTTAGAAGAATATCAGTAACCAGACCAGTTTCTGGTCTCATTGACTTTCAGACTATATTTTTTTCCTACTATGGAAGTCAATGAGACCAAACTGTCTGGTTACTGATATTCTTCTAAATATCCGAAAATCAGCTGAATGGATTCGAAAACGGTAAAACCCAACTATTTAACTCTGAGGTACTTGTAAAATGAGCCTATTTCCAAAAAAAGTCCCTTTAAAGTCAACATGGAATCAAATTGACCCTGATCAATTTTGTGTAACACATTCCTGATCTTACTGTCAACGATTCATCAGTGAATTCATGAACAGTCAGAGATGTATAAAGTACTAAAAACCCAGACTTGAGTAAAAGTACAAGTGCTCTTTTAAAAAAGTGACTTGAGTAGACATCGAAGTGCTCTTTAAGAGCACATGTTATTCAACATTTTTTGTACTTAAGTATTGCAAGTAGTTTATTTTAAAATTCACTACTTAAGTACTAAAAGTACAAGTATTGTTTAATGTAATTATTAAAGAAAGCAGTCAAAAGTTTGAACTAGCAATCAAATAAGGCACTTTGCTTTGGCAGCCATTGCAGGACAACCCCTGCATTAGTTGTCAATGTGTGTGTCAATCAATACCATTACCCTATAAAACTGGCGTGTGATTTAGGCAGCATGAAACGAATGATTCTTAAAAAAAAATTATAATTGTAACCAGTAACTAGCAGATCATTAAAAAAAATATTGAAGTCTTAAATTCATCGAAAATATCTACTGAAGTAAAAGTAGAAGTATGAGAAAAAAAACAATACTCTAGTAGAGTACAGATACAGCATTTTAGTACAGTACTTAAGTAGTTCTACTTTGTTACTATACATCTCTGTGAACAGTTCACATGCACCCCCTATGAAACGACTTTCCTTTTGGGTGACATCACCAAACAGTCAAATTTCAAAACAATCACTTTTCTCATTATTGTACTACAGGCAGCAGACCCAGTTACCCTTGTCTTCAGCGGGCGTCGTGTACCCGGGTGCGCTCTCTATGGCGGGAATGCCCTCTCCACAGTTGCCCTCTGAGCACTCGAGCATGTCGAGTAGCCCCGAACCAGTCCCGCCCACCAGCCAGCCCTCATACCGCACACACAAAGGGGAGGGGCCTCGCGTGAAGGAGGAGGAGCTCCGAATGGACGACGGCAACGGCGACGCCTACGATGACTTTGACTACGAAGACGATGACTATGGCAGTGACAGTGAGAATCACATCACTCAGTAAACCTGCCAATCGCAGCCATCTCACCTGTCACTTGACATCTCACGCAAGCAAACTTCATTCCGCCCCCATACACCGGCTCCTCCAGAGCCAAGCCTGATATCCACAGCAAAGCACAGGACCTGTCAATCAAAATGACTGTTACATGAAAAGGAGGGTCTTGTGAATGAAGCGTAACACTTGCCCTGACTCCCGCTGAGCGAACGTACCGCGGCAAGTTCTTATCGAATCACGAGTAAGCTATGACTACATAGGAAAAATGACGCTTGACCGGTTTTAATCGAGACATTTATTACTAAGGACCTGTCAGTCGACCCGTCATAGACACTTTAAAAATGGTGGACCTGTTTGTTTCTAAAGAGACACTTTTAAACCGCTTTTTTTTTTTTTTGGTTCTATAATATTCTCACTCAGGTACACAGTGCCAACAAGTGGCTTGTGAATGTGATTTTGTTGTTTTTGTGCTACAGTTTTAATAGAGAAAAAAGACACTTATTTTCCTCTTCACCGTAAAGCACCTGACAGGAGTAAAATGACAAACATTTCCTATTTTTTTTCTCTCTCTTCGGCGCGCTGTTAGCCGAATCTCTTTCTATCATCGTCCACGCCCGTGTGCTCTCACTCAAAGATGTCTTTTCTTTTGGACGAAAGGATGGGAAGGGAGGATTCGCGTCCCTTCACTCAGGAGTTTGGACACCGCTGGATGACAGACAATCCCTCCTTCCTCACATCTTTTCCTCTTGACACTTGACACGCTTTTACTGTTCCTTTCTCCTCTTCTGTGGGAACTTTTGGATGTCGACGTCTCCTGTGTGGAGACAAACTTTGAGATAGCACAAACTTGGTGTTTGGTGAGCAGCTGACATGGAGAGTGAAGCCTCGAGCAGAATTATTGTACACGTGCACATTTCTTTATGTTTGTGGATGAATGCGCCTTTTTGCTAGGTTTTTAAGTTAATATTAATACATGTAGACAGTTGATGTGCTGGTCATGTGAACATTAACAACGACAAAAAAAAAAACGATAATATTCAATACGTACGAGGAAGGCAGCCAAACGTTTAATAATTCCACTGCATTTACCATTTCTTCATTTTTCTTTACATCCGATCATCCCTTGTTCATTTGTTTGGTAGCTTTTACCACCCTCCCTTTCATTTTGTCTCCCTGTTTTTGTCACATATGGGTGCAGGGAACATTGCTCCTCATTCCAAAAGGAAAAGAGGGGATGCGGAGAGAAAAGCTCTCTAGAGAAGAGTCTGTGCCTGAATGGCGTATTGAAGGAGGAGAATAGGTTTCCCACAAGCCCCAGCGCTCAGCACTCTGCTTTCAAAGGACAGCTCTGAGAGAAACCAGGGATCTCCGCACAAGACAAGCACGAGTGTGCGTTTCAATCAGCACCCCTTAATATATCTCCCATCGCGGGGTCTCTCTCTCTTCGCTTTAATTCCCACACCATCACTCCATTTGTCAGCCGTGCCATCAGTCATCCACTCTCTGTGTGGCTCTGACTGACCCACTCCATCTTACTGCACCTGTGTGGCTGCTTTTGGCACGGAGACGGCGTTTGATTGACGGCTGCCCTAACTGTAACTACTCCGCCAGCCTCTCTCTGGCCTGGCAGCTGGATGAGAGAGAGACACAAGCTGTTAGGTGAGCAGCAGCCAGACTCCAACCATTAAACATCTACCCACAACACGAACACATATCAAAATACATAGAACTAAAAACATATTAAGACTTTTCTGGCCTACTTGAGATTTTTACTTGAGGTACTCTGATGCCTGCAGCGCTAGCCAAGTGATGACCGATCGCGTTTGCGTGCTTGTCTTTGTCTAGTTTGTATTTATGTTCCGCCTCCATGTCAACGTCACTCTGCTGTCGAGGTTGGGAGGAGCCGTTTCAGACTCTGCATGTCAATGTTTTAGTTCGTATTTGCAAATACTGTATTTTATTTTCATTAAAACTGCCTCTAGTGTAATAATATTATTAACATTAATTATAAGAATAGGCAGCATTTCCTAAGTTTAGTAAGTTATGTACAGTATAATTTATTATTTTCCTCCTGTTGTTGTTTTTTTTTTTTTATGATCGTATGGAAACTGCGCTTGATAAAGCATTATATTTAGCTGGGTAGGTATTTAGATTAATTATGTTCAATATTCCGTTTTTTTGTTTTTTATTTGTTCTCGTTTTTTTTTTTTTTGTCGAATTAATCCTGTTCTGACGCTGGTATATCTCTGAGAAAGTGGTCACGGTGAACTGCTGATATGAAGGAAAAGAGACGTTTCTCTTTTTTTCGTTTTCTTTTTCTCCTCCGTGCATCATTCATGAACTCCAAACACATTTCTTAAAGCACTAGGACTCTGGACACTCGGAGACAAACATAATAAGAAGAACATGATATTTTTATTTGTAATGGTTTATGTATAATGTGAAGTTTCCTATCTGTTAATTCTCTTTTACTGAAGATAAAGAAAACAGCTATATTATACCCCAATTGTTATTGAACAGAAAGAGCGCGTGGATCTTGTTTACTGATATTTTGTCATCCTCTCCCTTATGTTTCATTGGAACATCATTGGTTTAGATGAATACATTTGTTTACCTATCGTGTCAAATTACAGTTCAGGATTACAGTACACAACAACTAACCCTTGAAAGGATGGTTCATCCCAAAAATGAAATTTTGCCAAAAACCTGTATGACTCAATAGGAGACGTTTAGCAGATGCTCCGAGCTGCTCTCTTTCAAACAATGAGAGTGGAAAAGAAAAAGAAAAATCATCATAAAAGTGGTCTGCTGATATATCTTTGTAAAAGAAACCGACTTAAAGTCGCTGTGAGCGGCTCGGACGTTCTGCTAAACATCTTTTGTTTCACGAACAAAAGAAAAAAAAGTGAAACAGGTTTTAAAAGACATAGTGGCTGGTGACTATTCCTTTTAATCAGAAGGCATGACCTTTCTAAAATGGTGACCTGATTCCAGTGAAGCTCCACTGAACGGCCACATTAGATGTTTTTATCTCCAGAATTGTTTTAGCTCCACACTGTCTCCATCTGTCAATCAAGCTCACTATCACACCTTGTCAGATAACGAAAGTCACAATCAAAGAATAGCTGCCATCTGCTGTGACCATGCTTTCACTTCCCACGATCAAATCAATCGATAGAGACACGTGTGCTGGAGGTTTAACATACAAGGTCTCTGATGATGGCCTATATTACCAACAATAATTAATAAGACAATCAAAGTCACGTGTGGAGCTCAAAACAATGTTAAATGACAAACAAAAAGTACTTAACTTACCATTTCAACTTGAGAATCAAGAAAGATAATTATGTAAATATAGCATAGAGTTATAGATTTATATTTTGTTCATAACACAGTGTAATATAAGTTGTATATTTCTTTCTCTTTTATTGATGTTATTCATGCCACAATAAATGCAAGAGTTACTGTACTCTTATGGAAAAAAAGAAAAAAAAAGCAAGCTGTGGGTTACCACCATCTGTTCTAAGTTGACGTTTTTCAGTATTACTGCCAGTCAAGGCTCAAATAAAAACAGCAACGTGTTCTGTATCTCTACCGTGTCTGTGGCTTCTTTTTCTCCCCATAATTCAACTCTAGCACTGTTAGATGACAGTCCAGAACACCACACACTGCACACTAAATACTCTGTCTACACTTATGTGCCAACTTATGAAGCAATCCCAAGACTTTAAGGCCAAACAAAGGGAACTCCCAGCACTGAGCGCCACTGCATGAGTCTGGAATGATCTACGTCACACTGGACACCTGCTGAGATCACAAATATTTGTAGAAGAGTGTTCATGAATTAAACAATATTGTTAACAAATCTTAAGGGTTTGTCTTGATCACTCCCCCTCAAGTAGGTGGTCAAAGATGTTCCATCATTAGAACCAGACTTTCTAAACCACTCGTTTCAATTAGAAATAATATTTGTGACACAAATCAAAAAATTGCCCAGTGTTATCATACAATTACAGCATCCAGAGCAATAAAAATACCACTTTTATGTGGATGAATGTCTGGGTTAGATTTTAGTCAAAATAACAAGGTTCTGGTGCTGCCCTCAAAGGAGCGTTACGGTACGATTTTGGAAGTAAAAATCGTATTCATTTTCTCCACGAAAAAAAAACTTGAGTGAATTTCTACATTACCCACTATGGGTAGAAAGTGGCATTATTGAGCCTTGAACATTTTCCAATATGCGTTTTATTTTTATATTGTTGTTGTACTATCATTTCTGAATCTATTATGTCACTGCTTAAAGGGATACTCCACTCCCCCAGAGTTAAACAGTTGAGTTTTACCGTTTTTGAATCCATTCAGCCGATTTTCTGATATTTAGAAGAATATCAGTAAGCAGACAGTTTCTGGTCTCATTGACTTCCATAGTATATTTTTTCCTACTATGGAAGTCAATGAGACCAGAAACTGTTGTAAAATGAGCTTATTTCCAAAAAAAAAAAAAAAAAAAAAAAAAGTGGAGTATCCCTGGGATGGCAAAGTGCATTTTCTTATAAAAAAAGGAAATGTCCTTTTTTTTTTCAATTTTTAAATACTTTTTTGCTTCAAGTCAAGTCTTATAATGCTGTGAATCTATTTGACTTAGTTTCATGGCTGAAATGCCTCTGGAGAAAACAAATGAAAAGCTTCCCAAATCAAGGCTGCTTAAAACTTTTAATAGTAGTTTTACTAGGTGCTTATACAGTAGTTTGTCATTCAAAAGCAGGAAACCCAATTTTACCACCAATCAGAAGGCCAGATGTAGAGATGTGGAGATCTCACATCCAATGAAGCTAATGATCTAATTAACCACAACAAGCATGCTGGAATGGAAACAGCTGAAAGGAAAATGGATGAAGGTAAGGTTATATTTCGGAAATCCCAAACTTTATGCAATGAAATGTGATAGTTAATGTTAATGCTTTTGTAAAAGCTGGTGGGTTCAGAGCTCTTGTCTTTTCTGGCCCTGTAATGAGTTTCCTCTCTGGTGGGTCTCTGCTGCTGTCTTGAGTGTTTGTCTGAGAGGGAGTTAAGTACTCCAAATTTTCGTATAAACACAGTGGAAAGTGGGCTGGAAAATTGAGTCTTTAAGTCTTTAAGTGAAGTAGCGTAGCTCCTGGCACTGTAAATATTTGATTTTTTGCCTGTAGCTAATACTGAATAGAGTGTTTTGTAAGAGTGTGCGTGCTCAGTATGAGGCAAAGTAGAGAAAAGAAACATCTTGATTCGTTGAGTTGCCGTCTATAAAGCAGTCTTTGCTGAGTGTTGGTGGAAAAAAAAAACAGGGCAGGATGCTTTCATAAGGCAACAACATCATCTGAGGGAAGTCATTTGCATAATTCAGAGTGTGTATTTACTGTTTTTACATGTATGTAAGCTCATGCTAGCTTATGTATTTTTACAGTTACCATGTCTGCGTACATGATGCATATGTCTGTGTGTGTGTGTCAGTTCCAGAGCTTCTGCGACAGCTCAGTGAAATGTGCAGATTTGAAGCGTGGGTGTTTGGAGATTGAGTGAAAACGATGTCACATTAATGATTTAAAGTAGGTAATAGGATGTGATGTGCCTCCAGAGCCGCCAGCTAAGCTGAGTTTAAGACACTCCGCTAATGTATTCATGAAGAGGGGGGGATTAGAGAGTACTCAGAACTCCAACACACACACACAATCACACACACATTACCAATGTCAGACACCTTAGCGCGACTGAAGCCAAACGCATCTGCACTTGCACTACAAAGGCGAAATGTTAACACGCATGCCGTTCAACATCACAGGGGCCAAATATTTATGACTGCCACCACCAGAGCAAATGTTAGACAACAGGTTAGGCACTAAATATAAGCCTAACCAAACAAAATCACCAACCACCTGACGGTTCATATATGACTACATGACATTACCCTTCAAAAGTTTGGGGGTTGGCAAAACATTTTATGTTTTTGAAGTCTCTTATGCTCATCAAGGCTGCATTTAATTGAACAAAAATTGTCATTTTGTGAAATATTACAACTTCAAATAACCGATCTGTTTATATATATTGTAAAATTGTCATTTATTTCTTTAAACGCATTTCTTATTATGATCAATGTTGAAAACAGTTGTGCTGCTTAATATTTTTTTGTGGAAACCGATAATTTTTTTTACATTTTTTGATGGCTGAGAAGTTTAAAAGAACAGCATTTATTTGAAATTATGAATCTTTTAATATTCAGTGTCATTTTTTTAAATCAGTTTAATGCATCCTTTCATTTTCTTTTTATCCTACCCCAAACTTTTGAACAGTAGTGAAGGTAGTAGTTGAGGTAGAGTCTGAAATTTAGGTTCACCACATTTCTTCACTGCTTTTGGTATTGTGATAAAAACATCCCTTTATGGACCAAAATACATTTTGCGATTTTGTTTCTCTTTGGAATTGTATCTGCTATCTATCGTATATTTGCTTTCCTGCCTGACATGACTGTATTTCTTTTCCCCCTTTTTCCCCCTCATTGCACGTTTAAGGCTGTTTCTGAACATTGGAGTAACAAACACTTCTACCATTAAACCACTTTTTTATATACATTTTTAAAAGTACTAATTAATATTAATGTATAATAATATTAAAAGATTTATTAAAGTGCTGTTTTTTGACAGAACATGTCAAATTGTCGATTTCCCAAAAGCTTGACCTGTCAGTCCGAATCTGATTTTGTGCGATCCCGATCAGATGTACTGTAGCAAGTGTCAACGGACAAAAACCACGAATCTGTTTCGAGCTACATTCACATGTGGATTGAAATCCTATTCTATCCGTTTCAGTCTGACTGCTCCACGTAAAACTTAAACATCAGACCTTGTTATAGGAAACATGCTGAAAGTTGCTATGGAAACAAGTTTGTGTTGGATACATCATTTTTTGAAAACGGCGACAGCGCAGAATAAAGCCACCCCTACCAGCCTCCTGTTTCTGCTGTTGCCTCATAAGATGTTGTAAATAAGACAACATATTGCAAACCAGCCCATGTTGAGGTGGTTGTTGTTTTTGTTGTATACCTAAAGTACTAAAGTATCATCATTGCCATAGAAATCCATAGATTCACAGCAAATCGGGGCTCCAGACTTTGACTAAATGATATCATTTTGCTACCTTTTTCGCGTTACTACAAAGCTACCCAACCCTCTTTGATTACACGCTGTCATTTGCGTTGCATATGAGAAACATCAAATGGCAAGCGCTCCTAAAGCGTAACGAAGCTTGTTTGAACTGCACAGCGCGGAGCATTTATCAGCTCGGCCCAATAAACAGCGAGCGCGCCCAAAGCAGCTGCGTTCAAGTGTGGGCTGATCTCAATCACCAAACCATTATTAAACAGAGCTGTGTGATCCAGTGAGTAGAGTGAAAATGATCACATTTACATATTTCAAAATATATTTTAAAACATTTTCAGGAATTTTTGTTGAGTACAAAAATAAGAACAGGATATCATAATTGTATTATATCACATATGATGGTGATTAAAAGTAACGTAAAAGTAAAAAAGCACCACCGTGTTATATTTATAATAAAGATTCTAGATTAGTTTATCCATTGAGGTAACCCATGCTCACAAAGAGGTTGAAGACCCCTGGTATATAAATAAAACAGCTTTAATTATAGGCCACTGATAAGACTGGACTGGATCTCATGTGAGTGATTGCGATTTTATATTTTATTTTTAAGCATTATTAATTTCTTTGTGCAAAAGAAAGGGTTTTTAATAAGGAAAAAATACTGAGTGCACCTTTATATAAACAATGTGTATGAAAATGTTTTGTTTCTCAGACTTGAGAATTCAGTGTGTGTGTGTGTGTGTGTGTGTGGTCTGGGGATTGCTAGACCTGCAAACACAGCTGTATATGGTTTATTCTGCTGTTTTGCTTCAGTTTAGCAGTAGGTGAGAGACAGGCATGGCATTGAGAGGAACAGCACAGCCTAAGGCTGCTGTCCAATCAGCTCTGACACATATTTCCCCTTACAGACGACACATTACGTTTGTTCTCATTCAGTGACTTCATCAACAGCTGGCCTACTCCACCCCCCATTAATGTTGTTCATTCATATGAAATCATATTTTGTCTTGTCTTTGAGAGACGTCTGACTGCCTTGCATCTCTCTGTTTTGTGAATTTGCCAGTTCTCATCTCAGGTCTTATGTCAGATAGTCTCAGCCTGAGATGGCACACCCACTGTCCATAGTATCACAGCCTATAAAACTCCATACAAATCATATTAAAAATTAGGGCTGTCAAACGATTAATCGCGATTAATCGCATCCAAAATAAAAGTTTGTGTTTATTTAATATATGTGGGTGCACTGTGTATAATTATTATATATATATATATATATATATATATATAAATACACACACACATGCATGTATATTTAAGAAAAAAAAATATTTATATATAAAATAATAAAAAATATAAATAAATCTATGCGCAGTATATGCATGAAAATAGTTCTTAAATATATACAAGCATGTGTGTGTATTTATATATATATAAAATAATTATACACACAACATA